CAAGGCTCCTCAAGAGTCAAGATGTACAAGGAATGATGAACAAACCAAGAGAATGAAGCACCCCTCCACAGAAGTCGAAGTACGAAGTACGAATTGATAGGACGTGTCACGCGTGCTTAGTGCCCAAATCAACGTCTGGAAGTCATGGAGAGATTAGATACGAACTAGTACTTAGCAGGCATACTTCCAGAGGCATAGCTCCCACCACTGGCGGTAGCTCTCCCACAGCTTGGAGAGTGCCCATGTCCGTGTAACCACAGCTGCTATGCACTGGCTGATGATACGAACTAGCACTTAGCAGGCATACTTCCAGTGGCAGGCATACTTCCAGTGGCATCGCTCCCACCACTGCCCGTAGCTCTCCCACAGCTTCGAGAGTGCCGATGTCCGTGTAACTACAGCTGCTATGCACTAGTCCCCATCAGCCTTGACCGGAATCTCCCTGCCCCCTGGTATTCCACAGGGGGAAACACGATATGGTTATACAGCTGCTATGCACTAGTCCCCATCAGCCGTGACCGGAATCTCCCTGCCCCCTGGTATTCCACAGGGGGAAACGCAGTAAAACCATACGGCTCGGGAGATGGTTGGCGCCTTGAGAACACAGGGGGAAACGCAGTAAAACCATAGGGCGCGGGAGATGGTTGGCGCCTTGAGAACACAGGGGGAAACGCAGTAAAACCATACGGCGCGGGAGATGGTTGGCGCCTTGAGAACACAGGGGGAAACGCAGTAAAACCATAGGGCGCGGGAGATGGTTGGCGCCTTGAGAACTACGAGAAACGAAGCTCTCCCTGTCACTCCAACCATAGGGCCTAACCACGAGAAACGAAGCTCTCCCTGTCACTCCAACCATAGGGCCTAGTCCTCCGCACATCGCAGGAAAATGCCGATTAACGTATAGAGGATTGGGGCAGATTAGCGCTCATTAGCGCAGCCCTGGTTAGAGTCGTCCCTCTTTGTTTGTTTGTTTTTGTTTTTTTTGTTTTTTGGGATCGCGCCGTCCTCCTTTTTTTTTTTTTTTTTTTCCCTTTGCTCGTTCTAGGAACCCGCTAACAAGGAAAAAAAAAAAGGAAAAAAGGAACCCCCCCAATTGGTACGGAGTCTGCGGACAAGTTCAACTTCAGGATAGGGTCGGCAAGTTCGGGCATCGCCACATCACTATCGAAATGTACAAATTGAGCATGAACTTTCCGTGAGATCACAGCCAGATGCACCCGCCTCAGTTTTGTCTTTTTAACATTTGGGAGAGTGGAGCGCCGAGTTGCTTCGCTCGAATTCGTTTGTTTTCATTTCTTTTTTTATTTTTTTTCATATTTTGTCTGAATTTTGACTGCTGACTACGAACGAGGAAAGAGCTGACGAGTCGTGTAACGACGCTTAG